TGCCGGCACCGCCTCCTGCGGCAGTGAATCCCACAAGTTAACTACAGGTTACTTAAAAAAAAAAAGTTCTTTCTCTTGTTAGTTTTAAACCGTTCGCCACCTCATTTCAGCAGGTACTCGTTAAATTCTGGTCTATTCTGGGACGTGGAGAACAACCCCCCTGCTGTGACTTTATAGACCTTGGCAGCTGCATCCTTTCCAAGTGGAAGATCCTAGGCTTTTTAGTCACTTCTCCTTCTGGTTGCCCTTCTGCGGACCTTTTCTAATCCTCTGACGTCCTTTTTAGAGAGATGGGGACCAGCGGTGAAGGGATAGCATGGATGGTGCTTGCAATGTCCCCCCAGCTTGTTGTCACCGCTCCATTCCTGCCTCTCGGCTCAGTCATTTCGGGCTGTCTGCAAACTCAGGCAGGCCTTTTCAAGGCTTTTTTTAAAAGCCAGGAAGGCAGCGATTGTTGATGAGAAGAGAGATGAGGCCCTGCCTTTCCCTGGACAGCCCTGCTGGAGCCCCTCGTTGGCTGTCTCACCTCCTCTGGGGTTGTTTCAGTCGAGTCCCCTCCCTGAGACGCCCCCGTGCCAGGCCGCGAAAGCTGGCGGCTGCGGCTCTGGCTCTCATGAATTCCTTGTCTCCGTTCCCGAGGCCGCTCTCTCTGCCGGCCAAACAGCAGGAAGCGATTTGTCAGCGAGGGGCCAAATGTGTGTCAGCTGTGGAGCCTTGCAGCGAGGCTGCCGGGAGAGCGTGCGCAGCTGCGGAGCCATGCGCTGGCTCATCGGGGCTCTGTCTTGGACCCCGTGGCTGCTTTCCTGGCCCCGGGACCTGAGGACCCCACTGCCGTTATGCTCGCCCCACCCTGCGAGGCAGAGACGTGCCCTGTTTTCCAGGCACTGCTATGTGAGTTGCCCAAGGTCCCCAGGAAGTCAGTGGCAGAGCCTCCCGCATCTCCCACATCTCCATCACCATGACAGCTGCAGTCTCCAGGCACCCTGGACCCTGCTCCCTCCTTCAGCCAAGCCCTGGCCTTCCTCCCCCTGCACACCCCGCTCCCCACGCAGCCCAGGCTCCCTTGGGGTTCATGTCTATTTGTGGTGCAATAACACACAAGGGTATATTTGCATGCATGCAAAGGGGAGCAGGCGTCTTGGGCTGGCGTGAGCAGTAGCACGGGTGTCCATGTGTGTGCATACATGACTATGTTGGTGCGCAGCGCACAGCTTTGTGCATGCATGTGTGCATTGGTGTGCGCATGCACCCTCAATCAGGCGGCACGTGTTACGGCACATACTAGATCAATGTGAAAGGCGGGTGTTTGGATCCAAGAAGCAACATCCTCCCGGCCCCATTAAATCCCCTGCTCTGGATTTCAGCCGGGTGTCAATAATTCCCAGCACCTGTTTGGCCCGTGGCTCCCTGCGTCTGCACCTCTGGAGGAGCAGGGGCTGGAGGAGAGGTGGGGGGGTTTCCCCTGTGCTGCTGCGGGGCACTGACCCTGTGACACTGCACCCGGGCAGACGGGTGAGGACGAACTTAGGGCTCCTCATCGGGGTCTCGTGTGCTCCTCTCCCAGCAGGCTGCTGTCACCGGGCTACACCGAGACGCACTACACGGCAGACGGGCGGGTGGTGACCGTGTCTCCCAACCACACGGTGAGTGCAGTATTTGGGTGATACCCCTTCCCCCTTCCTCTCTGCACCAGCACAGAGCCGGGACCTCGGCTATGGACAAGTAAGGGATGGAGGGGAGGGCAAAGGCCTGGTAGTTCAGTGGTTAGGGCACCAGCTGGGAGATGTAGGAGGCTCTGCCACTGACTTCCCAGGGGACCTTGGGCCAGTCACGTAGCCGTGACCTCTCTGGAGCCAGCTCCCCTCTCCTGGTGCAGGAAGCTGCATCCTCCTGCACAGGGCAGGCAGTTTTCCAATGTTAACATTTTAACAAAATCTTACAATCTGAAGCCAAAAAGTGAGAGGGACACCCCGGCTTTGGGGTGACGTCCCCCTGTTTTGGACCGATTCGCAATGCCGGTTGCTGGTTTTGGCCCTAATCAGGGAAGAGGCGAGACGATGGTGGCAGGAAGACTGTTCCTTTTGCTAGACCTAGTTACCCGTTCGCTCCACGCTGCGTGGACACGGGCAGACAGCTTGAAGAAACGCAGCAAGGAGGGAACCCAGGAGTCCTGCTCCCGCTGCAAGACGACGGTCAGGGGCGTGGACAAGCTCAAGTCCCCAGACGAGGGAGGCTGCTGCACCGTCTCTGCAGTTTCAGGGTGTTTGCAGGGCCGGGCACTCGCTATAAATACCTCGAGAGACAAACCAGAGCGGGGTGGTCAGCTTCTGTGCCGAGGCCAGCTGCGGGCTGGCTAAAAATACCATGCCTAAAGGCTGGGTTTGATGCTACAGAGCCCGGCTGAAATCGGGACCTATCCTAGTGGAGACCGCTTTAAGCCAAATAATTGCCTAGCAGGGCTATGGAAGCAAAGGCACGGCGGTTGCTCGGGGTCACGCAGCACAGCGGGGGTCACCGATGCTTCGGCCCCCTCCAGCAGCCTCGCCAGACCCTGCCGGGGCAGCTCGTCCGCGCTCAGGACCCCATCGCCCGGCCTCCGGGCATGTGGGGCACGGCTGGATTGGGCTTTGAGACCGTGGGCGCCCGTGCTCGGGCACTGCCCCCCGGCTGGAGCCCCCTCCCCGGTGCACGCTTGCACAGGACGAGAAGGGGGTGACGTTGTCCCCGCCGGCCGCTGACACACGCGGCGTCAGGAATGCGAGCAGCACGCGGCGGCCTGTGTCTCTTGGACCGGAGACAGCACCTCCCGGTCGAGAGAAATAAACACATGGGCCAGAAAGCAGCAGCTTCTCCCCCGTCTGTGTGCGCAGCTCCAAGCCTCCTCCATCTGGCCTCCTCGCTCGGAGGCCTTCCTCCCCCGGCCTCCTCCCTGCTCCCCCTCTCAGATATTTATCTTCCTTTCGCCGTGCGGAGGAGGCCCTCGGTGTCCCAGCCTGAACTCCTGGGAGCAGCTGGTGGTGAAAAAGCTTTCCAGAAAGCCCCTGCTCTTGCAAAGCGGCGTCGATCCGGATGCTTCCTCCTCCCCGTGCCTCAGTTTACCTATCTGGGGAATGGGGGTACAAGCTGCCCTGTAAAGGGCTTCTTGAGCTGGCTGCAGAACAGCTGGGTTCCTGGGCCGCCTTTTGGGGTGCGTCTGGCTCTGGCCTCTTCCAGGGAGGTATTTGTCTTGTAAGGGAGGGATGAGATCCTGCCCAAGCTGCCTGACCCATAGCCTGGGGGAACAGCAGCCAGGCCCCTGGGACTGCGAGAGATTTGCTTTGCCTGGCCCCGTGCACGGGGAGCGGGGTCTCGGAGGACGGCGGCATAGCCTCCCATGCAGCCCTCGGTGTCACCCCGCAGTTTCCAGAGCAGCAGGATCAGGCCCTTCTAGCTTGTTGGCTGAACTCAGCACCGTGCCCTGCACGGGCTGCAGAAAGGACAAGCGAGGCCGGGTCCATTTCCAGCTCTTAGGAAGAGCCTTTTGGGTGCGTGTGTGTGGCGGGGGAAACCATATAATGCATGCCCAGTAAGGGCTGGTCTGATGCTGGGTGGGTGCAGGAAGGGACGGACCCGTCTGTTCTGCACCCGGCGGCTGCCAACAGTTGTGTTGCTCTTTCCCCAGGATCACTGTTACTACCACGGCCATGTCCGAGGGTACGAGGACTCCTGGGTTGTGATCAGCACCTGCTCGGGGATCAGGTAAGGAGGTAATGGAGGTGGGAGGGCCAGGCTCAGGCCATCGCACTCAGCGGGACTTGCAACAGGAGAATAGGAGAATTGCTGCTCGTGCTTTGCAGGCAATGCCACTAGTCCTCCAGTCAGTAGCTCCACAGCTCAGTCCCACCACGGTTCGGGCCCTCTCTAGTCCTGCTAGATCAGGATTAATGCAGGGCCCAGGAGAGGGCATAACGATGGGGTCTTTTTTTTTATTGCATCCCTTCCTTGGTCCTTTGCACCCAGTGCCCTAGCACAGTCACAGCCGGAGAAGCCCTTTCTAGCTAGGAGGGTGGTTCAGCACCAGGCCAGGCTCGCTAGAGAGGCTGCGGCATCTCCCTCGCTGCAAGGTTTGAAGAGCAGGATGTGCATGAGATGGTTCAGATAGAGCTGATTCTGCCTTGAGCAGGGTTGGGGCTAGAGGTGATCTCCCAAGAGATCTTTTCTGGTTCTGTATTGATGAAGGTTGCTGTCTGCATCCATCAGGGTGGATGTAGGCGTCTGCTGCAGAGCTGGCGCTGCACAAAGGCAAACGTGCCAGGAATATGTCCTGAGAGCAAAATGGCCAGAACAGCCCCTCAAATGCCCATGAAGGCAGAGGCATCTAGGACTTTTGCATCTAGTCGCACTTCTGGGCTTTGGCCTGGCTTGTGATCAAGCGAGGAGGCTGTCTGCTGAGCCGTAAAGTGGAGCTGGAAGGGAGCTCCAGCGGTCACATAGTCCAACCCCTGCCCACGGCAGGATCAGCCCTGTCCGAATCATCCTATACCAATCCACAAGCTAAACTCTTCGTAAAATATCATCCAAGACATAACACCCGAAGCTGCCGTAGGGAAAGCAGGGGGACCACGGCAGCAACATCCCGCTTCTACAAAAGCTTAATGCACCCCAAAGAAATCCTGGAAAGAGGGCCGTGTCCCCCACTACCGAGGAAGGCAACTCCCCCCGTCCACACCTACCTGACTGTGGGGTAAAATTCCCTCCTGACCCTAAACCTGGCAATCGGTCCGACCCTGAGCAGAGAGGCAAGACCCTTTAGCCAGACCTTCAAGTTTCAGCAGAAGCATTGGCCGCATCCCAGTCAAAACCCCCAGCCTGCAGCCAGCACCCAGTGCCTCCTGAGGAAAACTTAAAAACACTTGGTAGACACGGTTCTTTGGGTAAATCCGATATCTTTTATTAGACCAACTCAAATAGTTGGAAAAATAAAAACACCTGGACACATCTGGCAGGAATGAGGGGAGCAGGCAACCAGCAAAGCCGAGCAGCCTGGGGACTGAACTCCCCGCCGCAGAGCAGACACTGGTACGCCTAAATCCTCCCTGCCAGGGTCGTCTTGACCACCTCCGGTGATGGGGAGCGCGCCCCTTCTCTGGGCACCAGTCCCTCAGGCTGGACAGCGTGGTGGGGGCTCCTGGGGCTGCCACGGGAGGAGATGGCAGCAGAGAGATCTGCAGCTGTTTTTGTCCCCAGCAGCCTCCCTGGGGCTGGAGGTTGGGCTCTGGGCAGGGGCAAAGCGTGTGCATTCACTCCCTGAATGACCCAGGAAGGGGGAATTGCAGCCCAGAAAGCCCCAGAGCATGACTGGATGCAAAAGTGTCATGATCGGACGCAAAAGTGTTGGATTCTTGGATTTTGGGGGCTGCTCATTCATTCCCCAGCCTGCCTGCATCTCTTCCATGTTCCCCTCCCTCCCTGAGACCTCCAACCCTTCTCTCTTGTTTTCTGCTTTGGCCAAACACCCCCATCCTCCCTTTCAAGCTCCCTTTGCTCCGTACCTGGATGGCCAGAGCTAATGGGGCCAATCCAGCCAGCATGGGGCCACGTGCATGGCTTTCCTGTGTTTTTGGTTGTAGCTGTGTTGGTCTAAGGACATCGGCAGGCAAGATATCCCATCTACCCAAAGAACCTCGCTGGCTTTACGGTGTCATTTGCAATCCCGGGGATTACTCGGGGGTTTAGCATTAAGCCCGTGCTTCTGTGCTTCGCTGGGTTGGAGCCCAAGCCTGTATCCACAGGCACTTCTCCGCCAAGCCCTCTGCTTGTGCTCAAAGCTGCCCGCGGCTCCTGCAATGCCACCAGCATGCGAGGCCTCGGCTCCCCAGGAAGCAGATGCAAAAGACAGACAAGCCCACCCTCCCATCCATTCGGTCTTCTCTCCCTTTTGTCGCCAGCGGCCTCATCGTGCTGAGCAGCAATGACAGCTACTACTTGAAGCCCCTCGGCAGCCCGGACCCCGAGCACCACGTCCTGTACAGGGCAGCGCATTTGCCCTTCGAGGGGGGGATCTGCGGGCACAGCGAGCACTTGGGAAGCAACGTAGCCGACCTCATCAGAGTCGTCAAGCCGGCGCGGCAGCGGGTAAGGCCACGGTTTCCTCTCATGGTGCTGCCAAATGGTCCTTATGTCATGGGAGGTGTGTGGGGGTGTCACAGGCCAGCTGGGCACTGAGTATATCAATTTATTTAGTTGCAGACTGACTGAGCACTGCAACTTCATTAGCCACTGGGCTATTTGGTTCGGGATCGAGGAGGTGATGTTGGGAAGGAAAGCAATGACAAGTTTCACTTATTTAAAAAAAAAAAAAAAAAAAAAAAA